GTTAAGCTTCAAATGACAGGTAGCAAATTTAAGAATATATGTTTAATTAAATATTTTATTTGTGCAGCCCTAGTAATCTTCATTTCTGTACAGTGACTACTTTTAAATGTGTATTTATATAGCTTTCAATTTTTTCCCATTAGAAATAATGCTATAAGAGCTGGACATACTGGAGTATTGGTTATGTTTATGAACTGCTGTAGATATTTTCAGATTGCTTTCCAAAAATATTTTTATCAATTTACAGTCTACCAGCAATGCACAAGGGTTTTAATTGCTCTGAATGCCTATCAGAGTTGATATCATCACCTTTCTTTTTCTCACCATACTGAGTGGTATAAATTGGAATTTCACGTTTTTAGTTTGCATTTCTCTGAACCGAAGTAAACTTTTCACATCTTTTTTTGCCATTTGAATGTGCTCTAGTGAGGTGTTCTTTTACTTTGCCCATTTGTCAACTGTGTAATTATTTTGTTAATAATCTTTTAATAATCTGTGGGGCGCCTGAGTGGCTCAGCTGGTTAAGTGGCTGCCTTCAGCTCAGGTCAGGATCCCAGGTCCTGGGATTTAGCCTCATGTAGGGCTCCCTGCTAGGTGGGGAGCCTGCTTCTTCCACTCCCTCTGCTGCTACCTCTGCTTGTGCTCACTCACTCTGTCAAATAAATAAAATCTTTAAAAAAATAATAATCCTTATCAGTGATAAGAACTGAAGCACTTCTACAAGCATGTCATAGCATTTTGTTGCTGCTTTTTGTAGTATGACAAGGCACAGAAAGTTTTACATTTATGATAATGGTCCAATATGTCAATCTTTTACTATGATGCTTTTAAGAAATTCTCCCTTGCTTACAGATATATACATATACTCCTATATTTCCCTATAAAGTTTTGATTTACTTTTCCATAGTAAGTTTTAAACCCGCATGATAATTTTTGTAGGTTTTAATATGTATTTATGGGTAATCAATTGAAGAACAATATATTGATTTGTAAGCCACTAATTTTAATACATCAGGATTTGGATTTAGTCATGGATCAGAATACCACAAATGTGTTTTTCCACTTAATTCTGAATTCTGTATTCCATTTTCTTTCTACACCAAAACCAAACTATGTAAAATACATGTCAAAAAGATCTTGTCTATTCTTGCACCTTGCTCTTCATATAAATGTTAAAATTAGCTTTTAAGTTTCACAAAAATGTTTGGATTTTTATCAAAATTACTTCCAATTCATCTATTTGGAGTGATGATAATGAACTTCCATTTATTTGGAAGTTCCTATTCCTATCACTTTCCATTTATTTGGATTCCTTCGATATGCCAGAAGAAAATTTTATCATCTTCTCCATAAAACCTTACACTTCTCTTGTCATATTAATTCATAAGACCACCATAATTTTTGTTGCATTATAAATGTAATGTTTAAAAAATTTCTATTACTCTGATTTTGGATATTAAGCTTAATATCCAGCACCTTTACTGTACTCTATCATTACTTCCAGAGGTATGTTCAGAGATTCTATAATATTATCTGTTCAGAAATCAACTGAGAATGAGAAGTTTCTTCCATTCCTACTTTTAATGAGAATCCAAGTATTCACTGTTAAAGAACCTGTGGATTTTTAATATTCTTTATTATTGTATGAAAACTTTTTTAGCCCTTGTTTCTACTGACTAATAAGTATTTTCAAATCAGTAATTGGTGTTGAATTTTAAAACTATTTTTCTGTTATCTGTTGAAATTTTCACAATGCTTTTCTCCAAAGATGATGATTTTCTGAGTCAAAATCTTTCCTTCCTGGATTAACCTAAGTTGTAATAATGTTTATTTTTGATATTTTAAAGGAACTGGGGTTTGCTAACATCTTTATTTTCTTCATTTATCTTCATAATACACTTAGCTTACAATCATTTGTTTTTTGCTGTATTGTCTATAAAATTCTAAACACTAGTGTTTTTCTGTGTATATCTGGGTAGAGATGGGATTAGTTAAATTCTAGATGTATACATTTACTGAAGACAGAAATTTAAATGTTTTTCATTTTTTTGATGTTTTCAAATTCACTGCCTTTAAGTTTTCACTAGCATCTCAATTTTTTCATTATGCTTAACTGTTATTTTTTAGTCCTTTATTAGTTTAAAAATTCTACTGCTTCAATAAAAAGCACTGGATTAGCATCAGAATTCTATTTTTGCTTCTATTGCTTCTGTGTTTTTGTTTTTGATCCACGTATAAATCACTGCTGTTGAACATATTTTCTCATCTCTAAAATGAATTTAGTATTTCCTTTTCAGCTCACGTATGTCCAATGAGGCTCAAGTAACATACGACTGAAAACATTTAAAAAAAACATTTTGAAAAAAATTAGGGGGCAAATGCACCCAAGAATTTATGGGTTTATCTGCAGTTATCTTTTTGAACAAGTGCATAATTTATAACAAATGCTAATGTCCAAAGCATCATGGGCATCTTTTGGAACATGAACGAGAATTAAACAGCTTGCATCCGCCACAGCACAGTGAAACTTCTAGTCTGATGTTACAAGTTATCTCTAGCTGATCTGAGTACCAGTAAGTCACTAACCATGGTAACTTTTGAAGACTAATGTGAAAGGGTATTTTAAATAAAATAAAAATGTTGTGATTTTAGCACATTAATATATTCTCTTCATTTTATAAAATACTTTAAAAAAATTATAGAAACATTTTAAAGTACTTCAGATAGGTCCCAGTGGAAGGCGTTACTGTATTATTACCGTGTGCAAAGAAAGCTCTTCTGGAATCTTTAACTACAGAGCATACTTTATTTTGGGGGTCTTTATCTTCCTCAACATCAAATAACAATTAGGTTCCTGACCTCATGCTACATGCTGTAGTTAAAATGCAGTATCCAGGGAGTTGACAGGTACATGATTTTTTCTTTTTAAATATAAAGATCATTAGTTTGAAAACATGAAAAGAATCTTAAAATTCCTGCACTCAAATGGATCGGGTAAAGCATTGAGAAGATCTTGCAAATAACTCATTTCAGAAAACTAGATTAGCACCAAATACATTAATTCAAATCTAAACATACAAAATAGCATACAAAAGTATTTGCTGCAGTGGCATTTAAATGTTAGGTCACTCAATACCACCATACAGGTCTGTAACATCCCTGAGGTATTTATTGTATTGAGATGTTTTTTCTGATGGCCCCATTTCTATGATAATTTTTATTCATCTAAATATTACTGCCAATCTGGGACTATTTCTTTAAACTAGAACATTTAGCAAATAAGTGACTATGAACAGCACTAAACAACACATACAATTTCTAAGATAAGTAAGTGCTCCAGCTCTGGATTAGGAATTCAAAGGAATAAAAGTTTCTCAGAATTACTCTAAGACAAACTGAAAGATCTAAAAAAAGTTGAGTAAAAGAGAAATGAAAAGTATTGGGAAAAAATGACTTTTAGAAAGGTCAACTCATTTTCTACTATGAACCATTCATTTTCTTGTTTTTTTTTTTTTTTTTTTTTTTAATCATTTGTCTTTTGAGAGCAAGGATATTAGCCTGAAAAAGTGGTAAAATGTATATAGTATCTTGAGTTCCACTTAAATAGAAGTAGCTTTTACAATGGACTTAGTGACAGGCTGGGATTACATTTATTTTACCACCTATTTTATTTTTCACTGGATGCTGCAGAAAGCTAAATTTGTAGATTAAATGGAGAAATAAAGTTGGGCAAAAGTTCCTCTACTTTGATAAAACTCCCATTCAGGAGAAAGTGATTATGATTCAACAGCAATTCAACATTTATTTTACTACATCAATACCTGAAAAACATGCACAATCTTGAAAGATGAACATACAGAGTCTAAATAAAGTCATTTTTTAAAATTTTATTAGTACTGTTTACCAATGGGGAGATGCAGTTTATTTACACCAGCAGCCATAGGGGCAAGGGGAATACACAGTTAGTTAGCAATCTGTATAGGATGGACTACTTATGCAAAAATAATCTCCAAAACAAAGGACAGTGGTGAGCTTCACTACACTTCCCCAATGATCCCAGCATGCGATAATGCCAGGCAATGGCCCCTGGACATGCGGTGGTGGGAACTAATGTATGGAAGAAAAAGCCACAAACCACAAAAATTTGTAAAGAACCCCTTCCCCCTATACACGCACACACACTCAGATACATAATAGAATTACAGGGTGATCAATATACTTAATTGAGGAAGGAAGGATAGGAATTCTGCTGTTAGAGGGAAGATAGGTAGGGAAAGGGAGAGTTCCTAACCACTGTCAACTACATGATAGGGAGCATTCACTCCCCAGAAAAGAAAGGAGTTAGACTGTCCCCTCAGGGTACCTGTTGGACCTAGCCCACCTCATACCCATCCAGGACAGGCCTAGGGCGACTGCCCTAATAAGGGGAGGGCAAAAAAGAAAAAAACAATAACCAAGAGGGAGGTAATATGAACTAACGATTTTTCAAAATTACTTTCCACTTCTTCCTCCTCTAACCAAGAAAATGGCCAGAAAGGAAACAATAATGCCATAATCAGAGCTCCCTCTCTGAAGGAAGAGTGGACCATGACATTACCTTCAGCCTGCTTCCAGGACATTATTTGGAAGCAGGCCAGAGTTTCACTTAAACCCTCCTTTCCCTCTGCATCCCCTTAGAAGGAGATGTCTATAAAGTCAAGGGCAGATAACCCAACATTGTTTTAGCTCTTAACCAAGCTTTAACTTTCTAACAAGTCAGCGCAGTTCTTGAAGACCAATCTGTAACTATACCTCAACCCTGACCAGGACAATTCTAGGTGAAAATGCAATTAATAGACAGTCTTGAGGCCTTATCACTATGGTTCCCTTAATGTCTATATGTAACACAAATCAGCCCACACAGTCCAAAGAGTTCCTTCTGCGATAAGGAAGGATACATGCACAGCAAGCGTTAGAGAAAATAGATTAGGACCCACTACATTAGTCAGCCTTTACTGGTCTGCTTAGGTCCTAAGAGGCAGTATCCAAGTGGAGGTGGGAAGATGTAACTCCTTATGAAGTAAGACACAGCAGGAAGGCATCTAGCAAGGCAGTCCTATAGGAAAATGCTTAGGCATGACACTGCCTTTCATACACAAAAAATTATGTTCTCTTCCCATCTTAATCCCAACAGAGGAACCCACCAGAAAATTCTTCTCTGGATCTCCTAAAAGAACGAGGGGGAAAAAAACAACAACCCAAGAAAAACTTGAAAGAAGCCAAGGACAGGGAAACTGGGTAGGCTTAAGAAGCAGGAGCATCAAGAGAGATGAACTGAAACTGGTCAGTGTGAAAGCAGGGTAGCAGGCAGCACCTGGGGTCGTGAGCTGCACCAGATAGGCAGTGGAGCAGGGGACAGTAGGAACATGGGGCCAAGCCAGACAGATGAGGCTGGGACCCTTACTGGGGCACAGAATGAGGTAAGAAAACATTTCAAATAAAGCAGCACCGTTCCCGCTCACTTTGGGGTTCTCACCCCTCTACACTTCATAAACCCTCAATCAGGGAGTAAAGTGGAGGGTAGTTTTGATATGTGGCTCACATTTCCCATCCTTGCCTATCCCATTCCTGACTTCTGACAACAGAAAGATAGCTCTTGTTGTCAAGAATATCCAAAAGAGACTGAATGGAAGGGGCTGCCCCTCCTGAGGGGCAGAGGTGGTGACAGTCTAGATGTTTACCATAACAGAGCTTTGACTGCCCAAACCAAGAACAGGGGCATTCAATAGGATACTGCAGTCAAATGAGACGACCCAGGCTTGCTCCTTGGCTCCTAGTACTAATACTAACCCATTAACATCAAGGGCAGCTGAAAGAGGTCCCCTCTGGGCTCAGCTTTCAATCACAGTCTCCTGCCCAGCCATTATGCTTTTCTGTAATTCAGGCCTACCCCTGGCATAGGAGGCAGGTAGCGACCTGGCATAATGACCAAGTCAGACACATGGACTGGCTGGGTAGCTAGTAACTCAAGAGTAAGAAAATGACTGCCCCACCAAACTGTTGTTCACAGCATAATATATCCAGATATGAATCTTGCAGTTTAAGAGATCGTGCATAGTTGCAGAAGCCCCTGCTACCTCCTCAAGGGATCATAACTAAATCCTCAGCCTGCCTGGATAACCAAGTTGTCCATTTAATAAGCCTATGCCACTGGGTGGGGTGCAAGACAAAGGGCTCTGTTCAGCAAAAGGTTAGCCCTTGTCCCCAAGTCCGTTCAAGTCACTGTACATGCTGGACCTTTGGGAAACTGGTAGCTTTGACCTTTTCTTCTTGTTGGGAGGCAAGATCACAGAGCTTCCCCTACCAGATTCAGTCGTAATTCTTTTTCTTGGTTTTCCCAAATTGGAACTGTTAATATCCAGATCTCATACCTGACTTTCATCTGTCTTGGAGAAGTCCAAATCAGAGGCTCAGAGATCAGAGGAGCAGTCCCACTGAGGCCCAGTGATTAAGGCCTGACCATCAGCTTTGTCCAAACTGTCAGTTATCCAGAAAGCCCTTGACATCAGGCAGAGAGAAAGGCTGAGGAACCAAAGGATTTATACGCTGGGCACACAGCTGCTCACCTGTGCACTGGGGACAGTACAGGGATCTTGTGCACTTCCTGGTGTAGAGATCAACCTGCATGGCACGGGGCACAGGATGCACAGCTCCTCCTGCCCAGGGTTTCAAAGCTGATCCAGGTAACATACTTATAAAAGGATCCGAATTCCTAAATTCTCCACTTTGGGTGTTTAAAGGCTAGGATGTTCAATGGGAAGTGGGACTTTTGTTTCATTTCTTTCTTTCTTTCTTTTTTTTTTTTTCTTTTTCTTTTTTCTTTTTCTGTTTAGATACCTAACTTCTCCAAACCACAGGACCGGTCTATGTTATTGTCCTGGTCACTCTCTGACTCTCTCATGTTGCAGCTACTGGAATTCTGGGGGTGAGCGTTGCAGCTGCTGATCAGGCCCATTCCCGGATTCTCCAGGAAGGGAGCAAAGCGGGAGGCGGCATGCTCCTTTATCTTCCACTGGCTGAATGCCAAAATCCTTCACGCTACCAGTTTCTGCGAACTCCAGGTAGAAGTAGCCACACTTGACTGCCCGGTGCACCTCAAAGCAGAAGCCCAAACAAGAATCCTCTATTAGGTCTACGTATATCTCCTGAGCGATGGCCTCTAGCTTGTTAGTATCCAGGTTAGCCAACGAAATTTCCTCCATTTTAATTTGTCAACGACTGTGGAGAGGGAGCTCGTATTACTCACAGCAGCACCAGCAGCACCACGTCGGGCTCCTCGGGCCGCGCCTAGGCCTAGAGGCCTGTCAGGGCCGCGTCCTCAGGCGGCGGGGGCGGAGGCGTCCGCGGTGCAGAGGGAGAACGGCAGCAGCAGCCAGCGGCGACTGCTCCGGAACCCCAAGTCCTTCAGTTTCTTCTGGCGTCTCCCGGGGACTGGGACTTTGAGCTCGGGCTGGCCCGGGACTCGCCGCCAAACGGTCTCCGCGCCTCAGCCAACAACCCCGGCCTCTTCCGCTCCCAGGTCCAGGCCTGACCCCGCCTCCCAACTTCCGCTCCTCACAACGCCTGCGCACAAGCTCCGCGCAGACTCCCGGTGCTTAACCGTCCGCGCAGCTTCCTGGGAGTTCTCGCAATTTATGAAAACGATTGCAAAGAACTAAACGGAGCTGACTCTCATTATCTTTAAAGTAAAAGAATTGCAAGGATGCTATTTTATGTTGTTTTACTTGTAAGTTAAAACATCAGTAATGAATTCGGCACACATAATTGATTTCCTCATGAAAATGACGAATAATGCCGTGCACATTTGTGGTATGATCCAAAATACGATTTTAGGAACATTTCTCCGGATACTTTTGAAAATTTGACTTATGTGATTGACTTGTGATCATTTATAGTACTGCCGCGCTTGTCGTTTAAATCCACTAGATGGTGCAAGGCAACAAATTACCATATAGTTTTTCTTTTAATCTTTTTTTTTTTTTTTTTTAATGAAGAACTAGGCACTAAAGACATAATTCACGTATACTGATCCCATGAACCTAAGGCGTTTATCTCATTTATAAGTCCATTAAGTCAGTGTGATCATAAGTAGATCATCATTTACAACTCCAAAATAATGCAAAGAGAAATTTATACATACATTCTCTATTAGAGAGGGAGGAAATGTGAAATATGTTAAATATACTAGGACATTAAGGAAGCTTTTCCTAAAATTATGCAGCTTGAATGTGAGACTAGATCCTGTCTACCTGAGTTTAAATCCTAGATCCAATATTTAACAGTTCCCTATTTCTTCATCTGAATAAATCTAGTCTCTGTTTCATGGTTAAGATGAAATGATGCTGTAAAAAATCCTCATGTGACAGTGCCTTACATGTAAGCAAGCATTCAGTTAATGTCAGCTGTTTTAATGATATTAGTTATGGACTAGAATATATTATAATAAAAAGACTACAGTATTTCCTTCACTTTTTGCTAGTTTTTTGGTCCCTGCCACCACCCCTGAAATAGAGTAGCCTCTTGTTTTTAATAATTTATCAAAAAATAGCTGTAAATAAAGAAAAATGTAAATATATATATATATATATATCTCATCCTATAATTTCTTTCACAGAATAAAGAAAAACATAGACATACATATTTCCAGGCAGATACAAATGAGCATTTTCTATTTATTGTCAGAATACTCTTAATGAGTTTTATAATTCATTCTTATTATCTCTCTGCATATTTTTATGATTAGAGGGTTAAGTACCAGTTACACTTATTTGGAGTATGAGCAATTAACCAGTAGTTGTACCCATCCAAATTTTTTTTTTTTAAAGATTTTATGTATTTAAGAGAGCGAGCGAGCATGAGAGACAGCACAAGTAGGGGTGGGGGGTAGAGGGGTAGACTGAGAAGGAGAAGCAGAATCCCTATTGAGCAGGGAGCCTGACTCAATGTGAGCCTGGATTCTGGGACCCTGGGACCATGAACTGAGCTGAAGGAAAATGCTTAACTGATTGAGTCACCCAGGTGCCCTCCTATCCAAGTTTTTTGATTATATATTTTATCACCTTAAAAATCACAAATTGGCAGATAAAAAGGATTTTGACAGCCTAGTCTATTTAAGATTCATAATGATAATTTTATATATATACATAGGGCAGAATTTTTCCCCCCACTGGAGCGTTTGTATAATTTATATGTTCTCCATTCAAAAAATTGGTATCATATTTTGACATAAATTGACATATATGGGGGGCAGTACATTTTGTGCATTAGGCTAAAACTTCCAAATTATCTATAAAAGGTTGATAAGTGATTTCTTGGTTGCTAATTCTTTGAATTTGGAATACATTTTAGAAAAGACACAGCATTAGTATCTCTGAAGCATTTTAATGAAAGAAGTGATAGTAACAGCCATAAGTAATGAAAGTAATAGCCATATGATAAGCCATAAAATATAATGATTAAGTGTACAAGCTCTTGAATCAAACTGCCTCCTACCGATTACTATCTGTGTGACCTTGCCCTGTCTACTTAACTTTTGTAAATCTGTTTTCCTAATGCAGTGACAGTTCTCATCAGTAGGTTTGCTGTGAGATTTAAACATGACAATGAATATGTAAGTCTTCACAAAGTATCTAAAAATAGTATATAATACATACTACTGTGTTATATTTAGTTAGGGAAGAAAATACAGATGTAAATAGAATTGCTTCCACTCACTTCTAGCTCACACCTTCTGCAAATCAAATTTAAAGCAATGCTTCTCAAACCTTAATGTGCATATAAAACATTCAGAGATTCTTTTAAAATGCAGATTACAGTTCTTTAGGTCTCAAGTGGGCCTGGGTATGTCAGAAAAGTATGATTGTTTTGTAATAAGAAAACTACTTTGCTACTCAAAGTGGTTAGATGACCACTTTGAGTAGCAAAAGTAGCAAAGTATGTTAGAAACAAATTTCTAACATACTTTGATGCTGCTTGTTCATCAACCACTTTGAGTAGCAAGGAATTAAAGGGCTTGATAGTAGACAAGTGTTTTTCATGGTACTTGGCTCCCATATAATTTGTTCTGGTAAAATTGACATGAGAACCTTTTTTAAAATTTTGACGTAAAAGAATAAGAGATTGTTTCTTGGCGCCTTAAATCCCCCTTATGATGTGAGAGTTGGAACTGAAATCCTCAATTTGTTTATGAAGAGTCATCAATAAAATTTACTTCAAAATATATACAAGCAGATCATCATATTAATTGAAATTCAAATAATCAGGACCTTGGCTAGATTTAGATTTCCTATTAATATTTTATCGTATTTACTCTCAGAATAGGAACACTATCATGGTGTTAAAAATTTGCTTAGATGTTCATCCTCACCTTGTTATCTCTATTCTACTTATTTCATTTTGCTAGACTGCCTTACTTATTGAAATGTACTGAAAGTCTTTATGTTAATCAATGCCATAACACAAAAAGAAGTTAGAAGGAACTCCTTAGTTCTATTGCAATTAATAGGGCTCAAGATATTTAAGCCTTTGGAATAAAAATGAGATAAAATAAAATAGATATTGTCAATTATCTAAACCATTTTTTCAATACAAAGCAAGTATTGGGGATTCATAAATAAGTGATCTTCAAAGAATACATACATCATATAGGCTTAAAATATTTAGTGTACAAATTAAGGTAAGTATAAGGAATTTAATGTGAAATTTTAATTATCTTTGACTATTTCCTTCCCATTCGGTTGTAATATACACACTGAGAGATCCGTTCTTTTAAAGAGGAATACCTTTTAAATTATTATCTAGTGGTTTTTACTGAAGACTGAAAATCCATAAAACAACTATTTTTTTTAACAGTCCCACATTTTTTGTGTTCACATAAAATGGAAAATTGAGATAGCAGAGTGCATCAGGAATAGACCTGGGAGCCAAAAGACTTTGGTTGCTGTCCTATTTCTGCCACTAATTTATCAGGTGACTTTGGGCAAGAAGGTGAATTCCCATTTGTAAAAACAGCGGGACTCATGTTTTCTGAATGTTTCTTTTAAAAACCTGAATTTCCATGAATTGAAGAATCTGAGAAAATAGTTTTCTTCAAGTTAAGGGTCAAGTAAATTCTTATATATAGGTCTCTAAAGTTCAAATGTTAGCTCCTCAACTGGGTGACTGAGAGTTTTCTTATTACAAAACAATCTGTTCTACCACCCAGGACATCTTGAAGCACCTTTAGGGTTAGGAAAATTACTTATCTACTGAATATTAATTGGGGGTTGTAATTATCTTTCCATATATCTGAAGGCATTATTTGTAGATGTTCATTTTTAGTTGGAAATTTTAATTTCTGTAATTACTTGATCCCTATGAAATTCACTTCTACTTTAAAATATTCATTTAAATTTCCCTTGTTTTTCTTTACTTACCCAAGTATTTAAAAAATAAGTGAATAGTAAGTCAGAGAGGGAGGCACCATTTAGCCATATGGTCTTCTTACTTTCATTGGACCATGATTTATGTCAGAAATAAGCTATCTAGTATTATGCTTTCTTGTCAATAGTTTGCTAAGAAAAATTTATGTGTGTCATAACTCAATAGTAAACACTCACATGTCCCCTCAGGCATGGCCAGCTTGGAGTTTCAAATTCATTCTTTGCTGAAATCTATTTTTCAGGATTTGCATTTAAAAACTGATTATCATGCCTTGCATGAGATACTGAGATGCCACAGTTTGATATTAGATAAGGGTGTCATGCTAAAATTACAATGTCTAAAATAAATTTACGATTTTAATCTGCCCTACTAAACTGTGAAATCAAGGTGACTGAGTTGATTTTGGCATTTATGACAACTCTGGCTTATCATCTTCTAAAGAAAGAGACACTGTAATCCTGAGCTAACTATAGTTAGTAAATACTTTAGTATACAAATAAAAATTTTAGTACTCAGCATCCATAGTCTTTTTTAAACAGTTGCTCTTTCTATATATCAATTGCTCAGAATGAATTTGATCTACAGAAGGGCTCCAGAGGCTCTCTGGAATTATTTCCATATATTTGTATGTATAGAAATATGTTCTAAAAAGCATTTTAAAAGTATTTATCACAATGCCTTGTAGGTTATAAGCCACTTCATACATTTCATATTCATATATAGGTTGTAAGCCACATATATGTATTGTTGCTGGACCCTCTCTACGTGAAAGAGTGTACATAGTATATGTTTATCTTATATATGGACAAAAGACATTCATTCTCTTATATCATCACAAAACGATGATCCAATTTAGAATTTTGAGTAGTTTAGGAATTAACTAACACTACCATCTAATATACGATCCATATTAAAATATTGCCAAATGTTTTAATAACGTATTTTTCTAACATTTTTTTTCCCTGGAGCCAATCCAGGATTCCATGTTGCATTTTACTTGTCATGTCTATGCTGTCTCTTTTATTTTGAAAATAAAACAATGAGGTACATAAGTTCAAAGACATTCAATCTCATTCTAATAAAAATATTTTTAAAGACATGCAATTTCT